TCCAAAAAAAAAAAAGTGCAGTTTTTAGGGAAGTTGTATTTCCAAATTCAGCATTTCTGATGAGTTTGAGTCTTGAAGTACGTAGCACTAACACAGTTTTGCAGAGGCAAGGTATTAGAGGCTCAAAGGGAAGAGGAACAGCGATAGACTTGGTACCAAAGACAGCTCTTAGCACCTTTATTTTTAATAAAAATGCACAAAAAGGAGTAGCTGGGCAAGGACGTGCTGGAATAGGCATGATGGATGGCAATGAGAAGACCATCAGTGTTGTAGTTTCCAATATATGTTCATGAAGATGATCAAAGCTTTTACCTGTTGCTTGGAAATAAATGCTGTGTATTGATGCTCCGAAATTAATGAGTTTATTTGATGATATTCCTTCAGATGACGGATTCCAGGCCACAGTAGTTATCAGGGGAGTTGGTTTCTCTGAGGAGAGCACAACCCTGCAGGTACAGGTGAAGAACACAACTTGCTACATCGTGATGTCAGATCCAACCAAAGTGGTCTGCAAGATGGAGAGGCTGCCACTTGGAGTCCACCAGCTGACATTATTAGTGAGGCCTTATGGCTTTGCAGTCAATGCCAGCACAGGAGAAGGCATCTTCCTGAGAGTTGAGCCCAGGCTGGTTGCCATTGAACCTCCCAGAGCTTCAGAAATTGGTAGGTCTGAATGTCAGACGAGCTCTAAGGGGACGTTTGCTTTTTGTGCCTTGCTTTTCACAACTTGTTTTTTTTTTTTCATTTACATTTCCACTACCAAGGTCTTCATCTGATAGAAGAAAACATAATATAGCTGGGCTTACAGTGTGTACCACAAAGTACTGGGGCAAGTTTCTTGCAAAAATGACATCTTTCTTGGGTTGTCTGTGAGGTCAACCAACACATCCCCTAGCAGTTCTATTAATGAGTAGTAAACTTATGTGCAGGTAAGTTCCTTCCATCAACTGAGAAGGGTACTGGAGTTTCATGGCTCATCTTCCTATATCTATATCCTATGTCCTATATCCCATATTTGATGTATGAGAAGTGTCGGGATTCATCTGGCCTAGCTGTAAAATGGCTGAACTTATTTTCAAGCAGCTAGGGGTATATCTAGAAATGGTATGATGTGTCATCTGTCAATAGAAGTTCACCCAGATTTTGTTTGCAAACCTCTTAACTCTGTTAGTGAGCCACTTTGAGTTCATGTTAACACACATCACAGAGCAGGAGTAATTGTCGTGCTGGTACCACATGGCTTAGAAAGCTGAACTGTGCCATGTTTGCTCACTTTGGGGTAATTGGCAGAGTGGGACTGTTGTTTGTGAACCTATTGGATGACACGTTTGGGATGGACTTGAAAGAATGTGCGAGTTCTTAAGATGAAAATTAAGACACTAGTCACCTCTCTTCTTGCTGGGGTGCATCCTTGTCCTTTTCTTTCCTATTTGTTTTCCGTAGTGAACATCATATCAGGTTGAGACTCACTCTAATTCATATGGAAAACAAAGGAAAAAACAAGGACAAGTTTTAGTGCTTAGTTCTTTCTTCTCATTTTCTTCCATGACAATATGACTCCTCTCCAAATTACAGTGATCTGTCACTCATTAAAAAGAAAGCAAGTATAATGCTATCTTACATTACATATGCCTTGAACGTTTATAATTGGAAAGAATTACAGCTTCCATCTGTGTTTTTAATTTCTTCCATTTAAAATACCTCTCTTCAATCTTATCGTAAAGTGCACATATGCAGTATTTCATTGCATATGGATATAAGTGTAGACATCAAAACTTAAGAGCATTCGTCTTGAAACAACATGCATGGAATCGGTACTCTAAATCTGAGTCTCCTTATCTGGAAACAATCACAGGAGCCAAGTGGCTTCAGTTTTGAGATATTCCTATTTCTGGCTTAGTGTTGCTGGGGATGACTTGGACTAGAGTTGGGCTAGGTGACCTTTCAAGATCCCTTCCAAATCATACCATTCTATGAGGCTGGGAACATCTTTGATGCATCAGGTCATGCTTGTCAAAATATCATTGGTCCCAGTGGTGCCACGTTGGGGGTTCATGATGACCCCACAATGTAAATGTGAGGTGCCTGTCTAGAGATCATAGAATGGCCTGGGTTGAAAAGGATCGTAGTGATCATCTGGTTCCAACCCCCTGCTGTGTGCAGGTCGCCAACCAGCAGACCAGGCTGCCCAGAGCCACATCCAGCCTGGCCTTGAATGCTTGCAGGGATGGGGCATCCACAGCCTCCTTGGGCAACCTGTTCCAGTGCCTCACCACCCTCTGGATGAAAAACTTCCTCCTCATGTCCAACTAAACCTCCCCTGTCTTTAAAACCATTCCCCCTTGTCCTATCACTATCCACCCTCACAAACAGCTGTTTCCCCTCCTGTTTATACACTCCCTTCAAGTACTGAAGGCCACAGTGAGGTCTCCCCAGAGCCTTCTCTTCTCCAAGCTCAACAAGCCCAGTTCCCTCCACCTTTCTTCATAGGAGAGGTGCTCCAGCCCTCTGAATGGAAGGAGCTTCCTGCTAGAGTACTGATTGCTGTTTACCCAGCTCTGCTTCCAGTCAGAGAAATTCTAGGAGATGCTTCTAGATTTCTCTGATGGTTCAGAGAGCCCTCTAACTTTCCTCACAACTCTGCAAAGTCCCAAGCTCTGCCAAGTTCCCATCTATGTGAATTTTCCTAATCACACGCTGGAGGCTTTTCTGGCAGCAGGGTGCTTGGCAGCTTTTTGAACTGTGAAAGCACCTGCTGTGTCAAGCTCGTTTTTTGTTCTTAGTGCTTCTTCCTTTCTTCCTGATTTCATTCTTGGGCTGGGTGTGAGATCACAGACCAGACTTTGCTGGCTTAAATAAGTATGTCATTTAAAGACAAACTGAGAAATAAACAGTTCTCTTGTGTATCGTGGACCAGAATTCAAATAATAGGAAGGGTAAATAACAGAGAAGAAGGATCTTGGGTGAAAGAGGCAACTTAGGGCAAAGCAAGGTGGAAGATGATCATCCCCAGATCAGCCAGTAGCCTACTCCCTTCTGTAGTCACCCAGTAATTAAGGATCTTCTGCACGATGAAGAGACTATTCCACATCTTTCATGTAATTAAAAATAATTGCTTTTGTAGGAGGACTGAGAGTGGCTCTCAGAGGGACTGGTCTGGAAGGGGTAAACCTGGTGTTGTTTGGATCTCAGCCTTGCCCAGTTTGGGAGGATACCAGAAGTTCAACACAAATTGAATGTAAAGTTCCCTCTCGGGTAAGAAACCACGTATTTTTGGGATACAGTCAGTTAAGTGATAGCCTACAAGCCTTTACATAGATAGCCTTGGCCTAAGCAAATGGTAGCCCATCAGCCAAGCCCTGGACATTTGAGCCCAGACTCCACCTACAGTTTAGACCAGCCTAATTAACAACAGTGTTTGATTTATGAAACCATCAGAAACACCAACTGATTGCAAGTCTAATGCACATACAAATTTGGGAATTTGTGCCTGACTCACTGGGTGTGGGAGATACGTGAACATAGGAAATAATTATTTTTCTTTTGGCTCAGTCTTTTTCCTGATGCTTTCTTTGCTTCTGTTTCCAGGGGGCAGAAGATGCTGCTGTCCACGTGACGCTGGTTTTTGGGTACCAATCAACAACAGTCACCAACTTGTTCCAGTATGACCCTTCCTTAAACCCTGCAATTGTGTCACTGAGCAGAAACAGAAGTGGCTTAGCAGGTGAAAAGTGTTTAAGTGCCAATAGATGTGCCAGGCATTGTCTGCAGCCCTGTTGTTATTGCCAGTGCTGGCTGGATGGAGGCACTTCAGGTCTAAGGAGTTTAGTGGTACTAAGCTTCTTCCTGTTGATTTCTTCTAACTTGTTGCCCACGTGTCCCCTGCAAGTTCTGATCACTCCTGCCTACTTTATATTTTTTTCTCTAGCTTACATAAAACTATAGAATCATGAGTGTTGGAAGAGACTCTTAAAAGCCATCTGGTTCCACTCCCTTGCAATAAACAGAGATACCTACAGCTCAATAGGTGCTCAGAACCCCATCCAGCCTGGCTCTGGTAATGAGTTGCTTGCCTTAGCCCAATATGGATCATGTCCTCAATGTTAAGTGTGCTATGATGCTCTTCCAAAGTCATATTTCTCTGGCTTTGCTCTGGAATGGCCCCACTCATTCATTCTTGGTAGCAGGTTCAGCAATGGCTAGATGGGTGCTAGAGAATGCACTTCTCCAGGATCCTAACAAGTGGGCTGTAGTCAGAGTGTGATGCCTTTTTCTTCCTGGCTCATTCCATAGACTTTGCTTTACTAGCTTCAAATTGAGTTTAAAATGACAGCAACAAGACAAAGGTGCTGATTACTTGATTTAAATGCTCTCTTTAAGACACAAACCATCACCAGCTCAGCTATCACCTTTAGGGTTGACTGAAATGATCTCAGACCAAGCATCCCCCAAACTGAGATCCTTTTGCCTTCTTCCAGAGCTTGTTGCAAGTGTGTTTAGCTTTCTTTGCCCTGACAATTAGCACAGCACTGGTTAGCAAGAAAAAACGCTGAGTTAGGAAATGAAATCTCTATTTCCAGTTTTGTTGTTGGCATCTGGGGGGTTGGACTCGATGATCTCTAGAGTTCCCTTCCAACCCCTACAATTCTGTGATTCGAAGCTGTTTCTTTATTTCTTTCACAGCTTCTGTAGACGCTGCCCGTCTTCTGGCGGGCAAACCTGTTTTATTACCAATGGATTGAGCAGTAGGATTCCCACCATAGCAGGGCTAGAGATGTGGGATCCCACTATTCTAACGTTATACATTAATCATACACAGACCAATCTTTTCTGTATGTTGTCCACCCAAGGAGGCGTGCTGCAATCTAGGGTTTGACTCTCAGTGCTGTCAAAAGAGAAACGAGCAGGAGTTTGGCCACGGTCTTCCTTCTTTGTGCTGGCTGAGGCAAGCCTGTGGTCTGGGACTCAGGGTGGTCCAGGCCTGATTTCTAATAGTGTGAGGCTAAAGAACCCAAACTGACCTCAGCTGTTCTCTCCTCTCCATCTGTAGGAAAAACAGTAAGAGCCATAGGATGGTTTGGAAGGGACTTTCAAGATCATCTAGTTCCAACTCTGCTATAGGCAGGGATACCTCCCTCTAGGAAACTAGGAAGAGAACAGAAATATTCCTGATTTTTTTTTTTTTTATTTTATTTTTATGTGCCCCACTTCCATTCCTGCCAGGATACGCTCTGAAGTTTCTTTTTCCAATTTCTTAATGCGTATCTTAACAAAGCTCCCTCCAGCTCAGAGACTTGGCATGGATGCAGGGGGTGGGACAGCTGTGATGGCAACAAGACGCAGTGCCTGCTGCACACCTGACATTTCTATCCCTTTCCCCAGTGCCCTTGTCGTTTCCTATTACTCCAGGATGCATAAATAAGAGAAAACGTCCTTTATCATCTGAATATTATTCAGATACGATAGCACCAAGGGGAGATTGTTCTAGCCGTGGGCAGCCCAGGTGCAAGGAACTCCTTAATGTTATAGTGTCTCCTGAATGATGCTGGGACTCAGTTCAATCTCCTATTCAGAACCTCCACAGCTTCAGCTTTTAATATAATTTTCCTCCTATATAATAAAAAGAATAAATAAATTACACCGATGCCTTCCAGGCATCTAGGATTAAGCTGACAATTGACCAAGAGTCCAAAGAGTTCATGTTATTAATATATTCAGTTTCACAGGCTTTCAAACTTTGACTCTGTGCGTGCTGAATGGGAGAGCACTGGGTTTCCATGACTTCTCAGAGGAGCTTTTCTGCTGCTTTGTGGAAAGGAGAGGATTCTGAGGCTGCAGTGATGGTGCCTGCTGGGGAGGCTGTGTCAGTGCCAAGTGGTCTCAGTCTGTGCTTGGTAGTCAAAATTGCTACTCAGATCTGAAGCTTTAGGATGAGTTAACCTATAAAAGTTCTCTTTATGCTCTCCCTTTGTCTTAATAAAGCAGCTTAGCCATCCCTGTGTGGCTGGGATAACCGTGCACGGTCAACTTCTAATGTCAAGTGAGCTCAAGGAGGAAGAGGGATGGGTGAAAATGGGGCTGCTCTGGGAGAGCTGACCCTGGGTAGATATTCTGTGTGTAGATGAGCACGTAGATGTGCATGGTGAGGGGATTTTAGCATCTTTTGTCTGAATTCAGGATTGTCCATGATGGTAGGGAGTTGGGCTGGAAGACCCCTTCTGTCCTGTGCGTGCTTCTGTGTAACTGAATCCATGTCTTCTAGAGGTGACAGAGGGATGTGATTCATCTCCTAAACACATCTCTGTGCTTACTATGTGGTCAGTGAAGAGAAATGGCAGTTTTGTGGTAGGATTCACTATTGGTCTTTTGGAAATCTTCCTTAAAAGGAGGTGAATTATGCCATAAAGACTCTGTTTCTCCTCACTGATGAGAAAGGTATCTCAGAGCCTTTATTTGGACTGATACATGCCAGCCTAAATTTTTAAGCTATTTCAGGAGGAATTTGGGTTATGAAATTCCTTTCCCCACAGTCCTTGTCCTTTTCTATTACTGCAGAAAACACAAGGCAAAATGACCTCTATCTTCAATATAATTTATCTCACAACAGAACTTAAACTGGGGAGACTGACCTGCTTCCTGCAAACAAGGTGCTTTGGAGCACGCATGGACGTCTGACTTTAGGCTCTTAAGGAAATTTTCAGTTAGTTGTAGGAGATTCTATTAAAGTGTAGATACTCCCAGAGTGCTGAAAAGAGTGGTCTGAATCTTTGCAGGGATTTTGGAACAATCCTTCACGCAGCTCCAGCCTGTGAGCTGCAGAAAGTCTGGATTTGGCTCTAACAAGGTGTGGATGTTCAGGATATCTGTATTGAGGGCATAGATCCTATCCTAAATATCTATCAATATACTGAGAATGGTGTTTGGTGAATGTAGCCAAGTTCACACTATTAATATCTGATGATCTTATTGAGAAGGCAAAGGAATTAATAGAAACACAAACACTGCAGTCTTCTAGTTTCTGAGTTTTGGCTGATGGACATGACTGTACCTAATGGTTTTACGTGCTAAAATAACCTTTGCTACTGAAATAATTTCATCCCTTTTCCTATTTGCAGGGGGCCAGGAGCTTCAGATTGGAATCTCCTCATTTGCGAACTACCAGGGGTCAGATATCAAGGTCCAAATTGGGGGCACGTGGGCACAGATCCAGGTGCAGATGGATGATGGTCTTAATGTGATGCTTCCAGCCTTGGCTGTGGGGTGGTACAACGTTTCTGTTATCATCAATGGCGTTGCTATTGCTTCAAACAGGTGTGTGAATGTGTGCACTTCCCTTAAGGTATATAAATTTTCTTCTCCATCCTGTTTGGTATCTTAGGGTTAATTTGAAGAGGGAGGTAAGAATTCACAAATGCGGTATCTGACATGAAAATCTGCTGTATGGTATAAAATTACAGATAATTATCGAGGCCTTTGTTGATCTCCAAGTCAATAAGCTGCTAATGCTAGTCAGTTAATTCCCCTTGGATTGGTAGGAGGGAAACATTTTAGAGAAACAGCTGATTTGATGGAAAAAAATGTATATTTGGGCAATCGGAGGTATTCAGAAATTCAAGTCAAATACAAATAAATCCTGCTGTAGGAAAACAAGAGAATAAAAGAAACACTTCATGAGAGAAAAAAAAAAAAAAAAAGCTAGTTTAAAAATGTATATATGTGCTTTGTCTGGAGAATTTTTAAATTATTCTGTTTGGAGCATGGAAATGGTGGAGTCACCATCCTGGAGGTGTTTAGGAAAAGAGTAGAAGTAGTACTTACAGACATGGTTTAGTGGGCAGTATTGATGGTAGGACAGTTGGACTGGATGATCTTAGAAATTTTTCCAATGATTCCATGATTCTATTTGTATCTTACGGTGATGCTGGGTTAATTCCCAGATAAAAGCAATATAAATAAATTAACACAGGGGGAAGCCCACCCCGAAGTGATATGCAACCAATACTTCCATAAGCAGCACAGTTTTACTCATCAGCTGTGTGGATCTAATCAGTGACAGCTGCTCAAAACAATCCTGAAACAATGGTATTTTGGAGAAAGAAGCTGCATGTGTTGCTCGGATCCCACTCTAAGCTGTTGCATCAATGAGCTTCTGAAGTAGAAAGCTGTGGACAGTGGGAGGATGCATAGGGCTTCATCCCATCTGATACTGGAGTCTGTTAGCAGCACTTTGTATCTGGGAATAGAGAGTAAAGCTTTGGATTGGGTGTTAGGAAAGAGTTTTTTGCTGAGAGGGTGGTGGGCATGGCACAACACCCAGGGCAGTGGGCATGGCCCTGAGCTGCCAGAGTTCAGGGAGTGTTGGGACACCACTCTCAACCATAGGGTTTGGGTGGTGCTGTATAGAGCCATCAGTTTGGCTCAGTGATCCTTTTGTGGGTCCCCTCCAACTTGGATATTTTATGACCATGAAGGAACTTGATCATCTCAAAAGACAGCCCTGGTCTCTAGAGGGAATTGCAGGCGTGGGAAGGTCTACTTCTGTAGAGCATGTTATAGCAGGGATTGCTTTTGAAAGGAGAGAGATGAAGAGGAAAAAAACCAAACAGATGGAAGTGGGACAAAAGCAAAGCTACACCCCTGTCTGAGTGCCTTTTGGGAGGTTATACCTGGTTTTCCTCAGTCTACTTCCCATGGGAGGAGCAGGGAAAGAAAGGCAGCTGAGATCTTTGGATCTTGCAGCTGTTGACATGGCTGTGCTGGGATCTGTTTAGCAGAAACCTTCATGTTCTTGTTGTTTCTGATAGGCAGTTCACTGTGCTGTATGGACTGTGCTTGGCCCACAGGTTGCCATAAGGCAGTATTCATAACAGAATCATAAAATGCTTTGGATTGGAAGAGATCACCCAGTTCCAACCCCCTGCTATAGGCAGGGACACCTCCCTCTAGACCAGGTTGCTCACAGCCCCATCCAGCCTGGCTTCCAGGGAGGGGGCATCCACAGCTTCACTGGGCAACCTGTGTTCCAGTGTCTCACCATCCTCGCAGTAATAGATTTTTTGCTAATGTCTAGTCTAAATCTGCCCTCTTCCAGTTTAAGAAATCAAAGATGTTCCAGAAAGAAAGCAAAACCCCCAAACCTTCTGTGTTGCTTGTTTTGCAGGGTTGAGCCATTAATCCACTACATCTCGGAGGTCTTCAGCATCGAGCCGTGTTGCGGCTCTTTCCTGGGTAAATAAAGGCAGTACATCTGCAGCCACTTACGGAGGTCAAAGGGATCAAGGGCACAGTTTCCCTGCAGGACTGGAAAGGTTTCACATCAGTTTAAATGAGGGTGTCTTAAATCTGTGACTCTTTATTATGCAGGCATCAGACTGCAGCAGCCTGGGAACGTGGGATTTCAGCGAGCATCCCTCGATCTGGTTGGCTGGCTCAGGGGTCCCTGTGCTTTGGGTTTGATTTTCCCCAGGTCTTTGCATGTTCCCTTTGGGGAAACAAAGCACACCCACACCTGACTCACACATGCTGTATCTTTCAGTCATTACGCCTCCATCTTTCATGACTTTATGCGTGGAAGTTAAGTGGATGGTAGGGTGCAATCCTGGTTTCAAGCAAACACTCTTTTCTATTGATCCCAAAAGAGAAATCTATTTTCCTGAACTTGAAAACACAAAAAAAGCCTTTTTCAGTGTTAACTTTAATCAAAACTGAAATATTGATTAATCCTATTCCATACTTTAAACGTTAGAAATCATTTAACCGTGCTTCAGAGCCAATTATCACTGAAGTAAAAACAAAACTTTCACTTGAGATCTTAAAGCACAGATTTTGGGTTATCCTATTTTGTCATTTGCCTGCAGGGTGGAGGAGAGTTGAATCCATTTGGTGAATATTACATGGACCCTTTGGAACTCTTGTAGAGAAGACAGAAATTTGTGTGATGTGACTTCAGGTCCTCCCTGGATTCCATTCCCAGCCTCACGACGTGCTTAAAGATAGGCAAAGCTCTGGCTTTGTGCTGTGTTATTAGTTCAGTGATTTGTGAAGTGCCGAAGCCTTTAAAGAAGAGAGATTAGTTTGAGCTTACAGGGCAAAGGCTGTTACTTCTGAAGAGTTAACTGCGTTAAGAAAAAAAATATTGCACCCTTCTTTTCATTTTTAGGGGGTATGTTGGAAGGTAACCACTGATTAACTCTCAGCTGGTTTTGTGAAGGGCTTAAGCAGGCAGGGCACTGAGAGGCTAACTAAATGGAGATGGAGAGATGTTTCAGCTGGCTTTCTGAGGCTGCTATGGGCTTGGAATTAACTTGGGGATGCTGAAGGTTTTGCATCTTTCTCATCACTTCCTAAAAAATCCAGATTGCTACTTCAGTGCTGTTCTTATCCTCAGCACGCATTCAGTTCACAGTCATTCATTCTCTTCTTGCACGTAATATTCTTTCTTTTTTCTTTTTCTCCTAAGGTGGAACACTGCTCACAATCTCTGGGCTGGGCTTTAGCCAAAATCGGTCCCTGGTTTCCGTTTCAATAAATGAACAAACCTGTCTGGTTACCCACTTGGCAGAAGAGACCATTTGGTGCCTGACCCCGCCAGCTGCTAATTTCTCTAATGAAGCTTCTCAAGATGTCCCTGTCAGAGTAAATATACTCATTAGCAATAGCTCACTTCAAAATGTTCCTGTTGCAAAAAGCATCACCTTTAATTACCAAAGAGCTCTGACACCTCTGGTTACCGCAGTTGATCTGGAAATTTTGGAGAGTAGCCTGTTCTTGAGCATCCAGGGGGTGAACATCACTGGATCTGTGGCTAAGCTGGGAGACAGCGAGTGTGAGCTTGAGCTGCAACCTGGCAATGAGTCTGCAGTGTTTTATGAATGCTCTTTACCGCTGAGCGACCTGGAGCCTGGGGTTTACCCTATCCAGGTTATCCAGAGACAGCTTGGATATTCTCATGTGATAGCAAGGCTGCAGACCATCACAGTAACTCCACGGATAACCTCCGTATTCCCATCAGCTGGGTCTATTTGTGGTGGGATGTTACTTACTATATCAGGGATTGCTTTAAGATCCAGAAGAGATCTGGGACAGGTCAGCCTGGATGGTAATTATTCCTGTGAGCTCCAGAGCTCTGACAACAATACCATTAAGTGCGTGGTCCTTCCAAGGACACACCTTTTGCCTTACCAGTGGTGGGCTGAGGTGTCTTGGGCTCTTACTGTCACAGTGACTGTCAATGGAATCAGCAGTGTCTGCCTTGGGGGTTGTACGCTCCACCTTCGTGAGCAGTCAACTCCCCTTGTAGATGTGGTGACCTGGGAGAGCAGTGGGATGTACACCGATGTGACCATCAAAGGGCAGAGATTGGCGTGGCCAGGTGACAGCCCTGTGGTGCGTGTGGATGGCCAGGCTGTCTGCAAGGTCATCTACTGGAATGAGACCAGCATCAGGTGCCGGATGCACTGCATTGCCCCAGGGGAGCATAACATCTCCGTATCCAACAGAAGAAGTGGGCAAGCTTGCTTCAGAAGTACATCCAGTGTTCTCACCATCACGCCTCAAGTCCACCAGTTCTACCCCCAAAACTTCAGTACCAATGGTGGAGGCCTGCTCGCTTTTGCAGGTGCAGCACTGAAAGGAAAGAGCAGGACAGCTGTTCTCATTGGTCAGCAACCATGCCTCATCCTCAGTGTCACCTGTGCAGCCATCCAGTGCACGGTGCCCCCAGGCAATGGTGCTAGGGCACTGAGGCTGACAGTAGATGGCATCTCCTATGATATTGGAAAAATTACTTACAGTGAGGAGTCTACGCCAACTTTCCTTTCATTTGTTGTGACTGGCCTCCTATTAACAATAAACGTATCACAGGTCATGGAGATGGATGCCATCCATGTGTTTGTTGGAGACTCTGCTTGTAGGGGTGTCACCATCACCCATTCAGAGCTGCAGTGCTCTCCTCCTCTGCTCCCTGCTGGTGAATACCCTGTGCTGGGCCTGGATGTCCCCAAGGGCTGGGCTTCCTCCAACCTCACCTTCATCTCTCAGCTGAGGGTGACAGCTGTGCGTTGCAACTGGGGTAAGCCAGAAATAGTTGTTCTTCCAAGAGCTGCTGTGTGATGGATTATTGGTGGTGATGGATGTGATTACTATTATTAGTATTATTTTTGCATGACAGCAAAGATTTTGAGTTCATAGAACTATTCCTGTTGATTGCTAGCTACTGGGCTATGTCTTACATCTCATTTTCTGTTCTTCTCCAAGGTGGCTTGAATGGAGGAATGGTTCACCTGCATGGAACTGGATTTTCCCCAGGGCAGACTTCGGTCACCATCTGTGGCAGCCCCTGTGAAATGTTGGGCAATGCAACGACGACGAGCCTCAGCTGCCTCGCACCACGCTTACAAGGTCAGCTAAGACACAAAATCTGGCTTTGTGTTAAAAATATGCCCTAAAACCATATCTTGACCCAAAAGGGAGAGTGGTTGCAGTGTACATTGTCCTGTGGGAAAAGAAAGTAGAAAAGCAGAATCGGCTCTGGAGAGAAGAGAGGAACCAACATAAGCTTCTGTTTTTTGAGTTTGTTCCAGAGTCTGCTGATGTTAGGGGTGTTTTTGCATCTATGGCTACGGGTTTTGGATCCACCTGTGGCCTGAGCTGCCACATATGCTTTGTGGCTGTGTGTGAGGTGTGAAGTGACAGCAGTTCTTTATGGCTCAGAACCAAAATGGTTGGAACTTGATGATCCTTGAGGTCCCTTCCAACCCAAGCCACTCTATGATTCAAGCTACCTTAAATGTCTTTTCTGTGGCTTTTGGCTGTATGATGGGACAGCTTCAGTGGGGTATGAGTTTGGTGGAACAAGGTGAATGTCTGGAAGTGTGAATGATGCACTATGGCCAGTTCATACCTTTGGAAAACTGGAGTTGGGGGATTTGAATTCCTTGAGAGCAATATGAGATCATCCCTCAGGTAGAGCATCCTATTTAACAGCAGCACTGTGGGGAATGTTGCCAGTTCTATCTCTCTCAAAGAGAAATAACTGCCCTGGTTTTGGAGAAAACTCTTCCAAACAGGCACAAGACATATTTCCTCCCTCCCCTATTGGCAGCACATTACTAAGCTCCTAATGCTGGCAAGAGGCAGTATTTAAGATTTTTAAATCCCATCATGATATATAAACTCTGATTTTTGAGTGGTGTTATGTGGAGTTGGATTCAGTGATCCTTATGGGTCCTTTCCAACTTGGGATATTCTATAATTCTGTGCTTCTATATATTTAATTCCCTAAACACTATGTACAGAGTGACTGCCTTGGTGCTGCAGCATTGCAATACTGGTGGAACAGATCTTAGCAGCTCCATAGATTTGATACTAGGAGGAAAATCTGGAGATCTACAGAAATCCTTGTAATTCTGTGCCTGTCCAAATGACCAGAGATCTCATTTGGGGACCTGGAAGAAAAGTGGCTTTGAAGGTTTCCATGAGGTTAAATTGCCAAGGTTGTCCTCAAAGGTGTGAGAACTCCATCCTTGGGAACAGTCAGAAGTTGACTTGATCAGCTGCTGAGAAACCCAATGTGAAATTTAGCATTGCTGTGGGCAGGGGTTAGGGTGAGAGGTGTCCTAAAATCCCTTTTATAGAGTCACTGAATCATTAAGGTTGGAAAAGACCACTAAGATAATCTAGTCCAACTGTCAACATCACCACCGTGTCACCCTCAGTTACTGTGAAATCCAGAAGTTTCTCTTGTCTTTCAGAATCGTTTACTTTGCTGATCCATGAGGGGTACCATTATTAAAAACAAAAAAAAGGATGATAAGGTGTGGAGAATCCCAAACCAAAGCTCAGGCAGTCAACAGGGATCTGCGTATAGTTCATAAGCTGGAGTGCAAACAGCATGAAAAAAAACAAAACTGAACAATATAAAAAAAAACCCAGCATATAAAACAAGGAATTTTAGTCATTGCAGGAAGAACAGCAGAACCAAAACGTAATCAAATTGATCCTAACTGTAAAAAACATTAATAACCGTGCTCAAAATTCGCTGGGCGATGAGGTGGCAGAGGGGGGAGCCTGGGGAAATCCATCCTACAGGCAGCTCTGCAGTTCTTTTTCCCAACACGAGATGTCAGCAAGTGAATGCTGATTGCTGCCCTCTTGCTGGCTGAGGTTTTTGGATGAGAAGATGCAAAGGGGGTGATACCTCCCCATGCAAAGGGACACTTAGAAGTCACCCCCCTCCTCCGTCACCTGCTGTGGTTTTTGCACTTTACTCATCTCAGCAGTTGAGTTACCAAATTATTTTCTGTAATGCATGTCGATGCATTTACAGGATTTTTTCTCCCAATTAAAAAAAGTCCTCTGTGGGTTTACTAGGCTATTTGCAGGCACTGAGAGGTGCATGTAGCCTGTCTGCATGTGGCTGCAGATTTATGTATAACTTTAGTGTTGCTTTCCAGGCTATCTTCCCCTTAATATTTTGTGTCTTACATTCCCCGCAATTTAGGGCATTAAGTGCAGTCTCATCTCATTCTTTACCTGCTGCCATTTGCATGGAGGAGTTTGCCACTTGCAGCTCTCACATCCTTTCTTTTGTAGCTTCCTCCACGTGAAAGAGGTGGCAAAGGGATTCTGGAGATGTGAGCCATGAAGAGCAGGGGGAGTGGTCCTGGTCTATAAGGACCCCTTCAGTGCAGGGGCTGCTGCAGCCAGGTGTGAAGCTCAGTTGCCATTTCCCAGCTCTTCACTTGGCCTAGGGGATGCTAAATGAGAACTCAAGCTGTGCTTCTCCTGTTGGAACACATCATGAAGTGGAAATGCCTCCCCTGCATAGCTTGGGGATGTCAGGGAAGCTCTCTTCCCCTTTTAGTGGTGGGCTGTGTTGTGTTCAACCTGTTCATGATGAGGTATGTTCATGGGGGAGTCCTTAGCTGGTCCATCTGGCTTTCTTATATGGTCAAATCCTTAGAAGCTTAACCTCTGCAGATGGGCCATGGGACATTTTTCCCCGTTAAACAGATGTTTTTCTAAGGTGTGAGGAACCACTGGTCATCCATGAGTCTGTCCCATGGGGTCTTCCCTTAAGAAAAGGGCTTGCAGGGAGTTTTTGGGTTGACCATTGGTATAACCTGGACGTAGGAAGTACTTCAATGTGCTTCATTCAGAGCACAAGAAGTAAGAATGCAAGCCCAGGCTTTTTTTATGGAGGATCTTTGTGAGCAAATCTCTGATCTGCCATTAGTCGTGTCACATTGGTAGAAGTGGATGCTTAGAGAAGATGGTTTAGATTAAAAACTAGGAATGAATGAAATGAGGCTGGTTTAAAAGGAAGAGAGACGTGGCTTGTTGGAGCTCCTTGTTTGGAGCAGAAGGAATGAGGGGAAGGAGCTTTGGATGCAGCAATGAAGTGTACCAAGGGGATCCATTGAGTACAACCACAGGGAATATAATGAGGGAAATGGGGGAGATTTGCACATAGAGGTGCAGAGGACCTGCAGAGGAAGTGCTGTAGCAATTGAAATGTGAGTAGAGGCAAGGGTCTCTCACGTTTATTGAAGATATCAAACCAAAGCATCCAAATGGTCCCTTCTGCCCTTCAAATCTGGAAATGAAATTAAGAAAGGGGGGTGGGGGGGGGGGGGGGGAGTGGGGAAAGCATATTGATTACATGGCAAGAGTGTTCTGACAGTGAGATCTATCAGGCAGTGGAATAGATGCTTGCCAAGTCACCTCTTGGGACTTCTGAAACCCGGCTGTGCAAAATGAATGTCTCGTAGGGAGCAATTCTTCATAGGGAGAGGCTGGACATTATGACCTTAGAAGGTCTCTCTTTTTCCTCTCCCTTTCCTTTTGCCTTTATTTTCAATTTTTATTTCTTTCGTTTGTAACCTACTTTTTCTCTCTGCTGAGTGGAAGTTAACGTTGCGCTCTGCTGCCAGCTATGTGAGCAGTGCATAGATGTGTGTGCTTTGGCACCGGGACTCTTTGGGCAGTTGTTCAACCAATCTGCAGCTGCCCTTGGATCTCCTGTAGGGTTTAGCCTCATCACATGTCCTACAGTTGTTATTAAACAGTGACCCAGAACAAAGCCCTGGTGCTGAACAGCCCAGGATCCTGGCTTAAGCCAGAGCATCCTTCAAAGTGAGGGCTGGGGGCAGCCGGTCCCTAACCCATCACTGACATGCAGAGTTTTGGCTGCCACCGTGTCTGACCTCAGCAGAGATGCTGTGATGGGATGAATGCATTCACCTTGGTGATGGGATTGTGTAACGTGTGATCAGTGGGTTCTATATTTACAGGATAAAGCATAAAGAAGCTTTATTCTGGGATTCAAACACTTAAGAATTAAAGCAGGGAGAGGCATCTCAGAATGAGTAGACTGTGCACTTCCAGGATATGCTAAGTGTGTTACCATCTTGAATTGGTATTTATTTATTACTCTTGTTGCAGGAGAGAACAGCAGCTTTCTGCTACCAAGGGTTATTTGCATTTAGTGGTCAGAGGAAGACTTCTTCCTAATTGGGAAGGGTAACATGGAAGTATCAGAACCTCATAAATCCTCAAGGAAGGGATGAGAAATGGACACAAGTAGTGGTATCACCATCCAATGGACTGAAGCAGTAGTGTATGGAAATGAAGTCCCTTTCTAGGTTGTTCTAGGTGTGTTTATGGAGTGCATGCCCTTTATTATTGCCGTTGTTGGTTAGACATCAAATCTAGTTGCATCATCTCCATGACCACATCTGATTGTGTCACAGCCTTTCCTACCGCTAGTAAGGCAGAACGAGCCTTACCCTCTTACAGAATGGGAAGGAATTCCTTTAAGGAATTTGTTTTACTGCAGATAAAGATGTAGCAAAGGCAAGTTAATAGCAGCATTTAGTCCTTCCGATAGTCGTTTGCCAAAACACAGGTGTAGGTAGCACTGTTTGAAATACACCTGGGGATGGCAACCAGGCCTTCAAGAAGGCATGAGGCTTCTTTGGGTACTAACAGACTGCTAAGGTGTCTCTAGGCATAGTTTCTGGACAATAGAAGTAGCAATATAGGCATGATACCATCACTCCTTTAGGATTTTCTGCCTGTTAACTCTGTCTTTTGTTCCTGAGATCTTTGAGGAAAGGGTCATTTTTGGTTGCGAGAACAGTGCAAATTTTGTGAAGAAGCAGGCAACTTTTTTCTTATTATTCCAAATAATGGTTCATATTTTTCAAGCTTTTTTTTTTTTTTTTTTTTTTTCCCCTTCTAGATTTGGCAATAGGAAAACTTAATTTCTGTTCACATCTTTTTCCTTAAATCCATTTCAAAGCAAAGCAGCTGCTCCCATCACACCTCTTAGCACACCTGTGGTGCTAAACTGGTCCCCCCATTCACCCAAGCACCCCAGAAGCCCTCCAGGCTGTACAACAGTCTCTAAATCTGCACCTGGATTTCAGATCTTCCGATCCCAGAGATGTAGATCCTTGTCATGCAAGGGGAGTAACATACAGGAACACACATGAAACAGGGAGCTGCTGGGAACCGATTCACCCCCAGAAAGATGTACCAAACCGGAGGCTGGGATGAACAATGAGAAGCAGTGACACGTGTAGCCAACATCTGCTCAGCATCAGTGACCTGTGGGCTGCTCTCAGTGGCTGTCCCTGACCTCGTGGCGCAATGGTAGCGCGTCTGACTCCAGATCAGAAGGCTGTGTGTTCAAATCACACCGGGGTCAGCATGTCCCCATCTCTGGGGTGGTGTGATGGGATGGCTGGCCCAAGGGCAGCTCTTTTGCTCTCCTGCTTCAGATCCCACAGCTTCATCAAACGGCAGCAAATGTGCCCTGGCAGAGGATTTCGCCTTGCTGGGCCTGTATTGGGAAATATCTGCATAGAAGGTGGTGAGGCACTGGAACAGGTTGCCCAAGTTGGCTGTGGATGCCCCATCCCTGCAGGTATTCAAGGCCAGGCTGGATGTGGCTCTGGGCAGCCTGGGCTGCTGGTTGGTGACTCTGCATATAGCAGGGGGTTGAAACATCACTGTGGTCCTTTTCAACCCAGGCCATTCTGTGATACCCTCATCCCATTTTTGGAAGGGAGGCAGTGGATGTCCCAGCCTGGTGCCGTGTCTGGACACTGCTTCGTCTGTCCCTGGTACCCCTCAACAAGGAGAAGTATAGCTGGTTCCAGATGGGGGTTTTAACAAAAAGTCCTTAGCAGGATTGGGTCTGGGGGGGTTAACCTTTTTTCCAACTCAAGCCATTCCGTGATTCATTCCCTTCCTGTCTTTGCAGCATCCTTGGCCTTTCTCTGCAGCCTGACCCACTCTTCTGCCAGCTGCCAAGAGGACAGATCCACCATTATTGAATGTGATGTCCAAGTCATGGTGGGCTCCTACCGCCAGCAAGCACCCAGGTCCTACCTGTACCTGTGTGGGGAAAGCCAAACTCAGCAGCAGCAGGGGGACACCAGCCCTTCCCAGAGCCACACTGCTGGACTCGTTGCCAGGTTAGTTCTACCCAGAAGGTATTCGCTGCCCCTGCCAAATGATGGACTGCAGAAGGAGATAATTCCTAATTCTCAGGCTGACGCCAGGATATGATTCCTAACTCTTAGGCTGCTGCCAGCAAAGCAATTTAGCCTTGAGACCGCTAGAGAGCTCTGCTGGGTCGTGAAATTCATTCCTTGTGTCTATCAAAGCATTTCTATTCCCCCTCTCCCCTCCTCTCCCATCTTTTTTAAAGGGTTTGAGAAACATCAGAAAATCCATCTCGTAAACAGCCTGCTTTGTTCCTTCTTAGGTTTTAATATTTATCTTCTGATCCAAAGCAACATCTGGTGGATGCCAATGGGGAAAAAGATTAGGCATTATGAAAAGCAGAAGCCTTTGTATTTTTTTTCCCCTCCCCTTCCTCTCTCCAAGCAGTTTGATGAGTAAAAAGTTGCAGAGAAAATTCAGCAGGCTGTGCAACATTTACTCAGTAAGGGGTGCTTGGGTTTTGCAAATCCAAGGCCGAGTTGCCTGGAAGTGTGAATTGTTACCTTTGCCTTTAATAGAGCTGTAGAGACTTATACCTGCAGAGCATGTACTTCCAGGAGCAAAAGGCTCGAAGTAAGGAATAAATAGGTGAATTGCACTCTGCAAAAGATACTTAAGCCCTTAAATAGGGAATTAGAATATTGTTGCAGTGCACTGTGTGTGCTTTGTTTCAATGGGGAGTGCTCATTGGTGCAGTCCAGCTGCTTCAGTGGAGTTGCAGAGTTTTGATCTTCATCCTTATCTGGTTCTTATGCCACCAGTAGTGTTACGAGTCATCAAGGTATTTCTGGATGCCCTGTGTTGAGGTGAGAAGAATTGGTGATTACTGAACAAGGACAGCAGTAGAATCACAGAATGGTTGGGTTGGAAGGGACCTCAAGGATCACGAAGCTCCAACCCCCTGCCTCAGGCAGGACCACCAACCTCCACATTTCATAGCAGCCCAGGCTGCCCAGGGCCCCATCCAACCTGGCCTTGAACACCTCCAGGGATGGACGGGGCATCCACAGCCTCTCTGGGCAGCTGTTCCAGCCCCTCACCACTCTCATAGGAAAGAACTTCCCCCTGACATCCAACCTCAATCCTCCCTCTTTCAACTTAAAACCATTTCCCCCATTTTCACCCCATCAGCTTTTGAGCTCTGATAAACTCGAGCTGGGTTTCATAAGGAATGGATGTCTTAAGAATTATGGAATTCTTGCCAGTTCAGAGAAAATCTCAGCTAGGCAGGAAGAAATCAGTTTCCTTTTGAGGGAGGGGAAAGGAGAATTCTACTCTAATCTGCACATTGCCAGCAAGCTGCAGGCCAGGCAGTGGATATGTACAGGTGGCTAACTGGCATGTCCAAAGTCTCACTGTGCCTTGGTAGTGTCTGATAGCATCCTGGGAGACGGGGAGAATGGTTGTATTAGGGGATACAAGAACAGAGAAACTTAAGGGGTAGGAGGGAGCAACTTGAAATTAAGCTGATTGATTTTGCTTCAAAACAAGAAATTTCAGGGGTCTTGACTTGCCCTGCTGAGCTTTGCTTTCCTTTTGCTATTAGCAGGGTAACTGCAAGGCAGGTAATCATAGAATGGTTTGAGTTGGAAGGACCCTTCAAGGCCATCTGTCCCACTCCCTGCACTGAACAGGGACACCCACAGCTCCATCAGTGCTCACAGCCCATCCAGCCTGACCCTGTCTGTCTGCAGGGATGAGGCACCACCACCTGTGCAGCCTGTGCCAGTGCTTAATTACTCTCATCATAACAAACTTCTTCCTTGTATCCAGTTTAAATCTCCCCTCTTTTAGTTTGAATCCATTTCTCCTTGCCCTATTGCAGCTGCTGTGAGGGCACAGTGCTGGCTCATGTCCACCACCAGTACTCCCAGGTCCTTGCTGTCAGGGCTGTGCCTGTTCCTTACGTCCCCCAGCTTGTACTGACAGCGGGTGTTGCCATGACCCAGCTGCACACCTTGCACTTGGATTTGTTGAACCTCATGAGGTTCACCTGTGCCCATTTCTCAGCCTGTCTAGGATGGTATCCTGTCCCTTATGTCAACCCCCTGACTGCTGAGGGTGCACTCGACCCCGTGCTGATGTCACTGATGAAGATGTTAGAGAGCACCAGTCCCAGTATTGACCCCTGAGAGACACCACTCATCACTGATTTCCATCCAGAGTTTGAGCCATTGATCACCACTCTCTGGATACAATCTCACAACCAGATCTTCATCCATCAAACAGTCTACCCATCAAATCCATATCTTTCCAATTTGGAAAGAAGGATGTTGTGGGGTACCATGTCAAAGGCCTTACTGAAGTGCAGATCACATCAGTGGCTCTTCCCTTGTCCACTGATGCAGTGATGCCATCATAGAAGGGCACCAGGCAACTCAGACTTGAGAGTGATGAGGCAGCCCAAGATTGCTGCTTTCACTTATTGCTTTCAAAATTATGCTCAGCTCTTTACTGATTACACATCTGTGCTGTGGGAATTATGATAGTTTTTCTTTTTGCTCATTTTCCTGGTTTGGATTTCAAAATTTCTTCTGCTGCTGCAGATGCATCATCCTGGTGTCAGTGGAGTGAAGGGGGTGGGAGGTCTGAACCTGAGTTTGTCATGTGATGGTGATGGAAAGTCACACAGTTCATTTTATGACTGCTTCATTGTTTTTCTTAACAATGTTTTTGCCCTTTTTAATTGTGTATGTCCCAGAAAGAGTTTAACATCTCTTCAGGTTCTAGATCAAATCAGTCATCATTTTACCTACTGCTTTTGCTTTTTTCAAACTTACACCTTTTTAAGTTCTCACTGAATTTCCCTCCTAATGTGTTCACACTCATACCTTGTGTAGAATTTCAAGTATGGGCTCAAAAGGAATTTTCCAGCACGCCGATGTGTTTTTCTGGTGAGTCCATTTCTAAACCGGGTTTAGCTGATGGCGGGAGAGGACAGAGAAGGGCTAATTTCAGATGAGTTTCTTGATCTGAAAATCTAGGGAAAAATAGAGGAAGGGAGTTGAAGTGAACCAAATGATCTATCTCAGAGCTCTTGAAAATGTGTTTTCAAACTTAATTTCAGGAAACATTCCATTTCCAAATACCAAGTGCAGTTTGTGGCAAAGGGTTTGAAAATGATCGAAGGAATTGTTTGGAGAATTCCCGAAATAATGCCTGCTGGTTGCTCTAATTAATAATTGTAAGTGAAAACAATAATGGAAAAACAAACGAATGAGTTCTGCAGAAAGGTTCATCGGTTCAGACATTCATCCCAGGATGGGAACTAAGGCATAGAAAGCATCGCTGACTTAACTACATGTTCAGTCTTTCCTGTTCTTTCTTACCAGTTTTAGGTGTTTTGAACAAAGCTTCTTCTAGTATAGTCTGTACTTTATGCCCATGTAATGGCAAATGCATATTCCTTAGGAAAGGAAAGGGGCAAGTCTGACTGTTAATGTCGCTGCTGTGTGAATGGCTCCTTTGATTCTCTGTCGCAAATTGCACCTTCTTGTAAAACTGTGCCATTCCTGAACATCGTCCTGCATCACAGATACAGGTGCACTTCTTCAAGGACAGGGGGGAGTTGGCTCTTTGCCTACAAGGAGGCTGTGGATACCCCATCCCTGGAGGCATTCAAGGCCAGGCTGGATGAGGCTTTGGGCAGCCTGGTCTGCTGGTTGGTGACCTTGCACATAGCAATGCACTGGATGATCATTGTGGTCCTTTTCAACCCAGGCCATTCTGTGATTCTATGATTACCACTTGGAGTTCCTCTCCATTGACTTCAATTAGCGGCAAGTTGCCAACTGAGCTGCACTGAGCCAAAAACACGCCCCTTCTCCCTTTAAAATAGTTGGTTATTTAAAGATGCAGCTTTTTCTTGTAGCATGAAAAAGAAGTACTCTGCAGTCTTGAAAGATAGCCCAGTCCATTGAATTATCACGCAGGACAAGAGCAGTTCTCAAAGTGTTGCTATCAAAAGCAAGTGTAGTTCCCTACGGCTGGCTTTTGATTATTGATACAGCAGAGGGAAAGGTTCATTTAAATATAGAAATAAAAATTCACTGTTAAAAAGGTTCAGCTACTTGCAGGAAGCTTTTCTTTTCTTTTTTTTTTTTCTGTTGCTGCTGCTACCGTGGCTGCTTCCTTTAGCGCATTAACTTCCTCCTGCCCTAAAAAAAAAGGGGCAACAGAACAAAGGCCCCTACCTGCAGTTAGAGCAGCTCCTTGTTTGCTCAGTGAGCCATCATACCCAGCCCAGCTTCAAAAATTCAGGTTCACCAAATCATCCTGATCGCTGTGCTCTCAAGGAAGCTCTGGCTGTTGGGTTGACTTGGGTACAAGTTGGGCTCCTGACTTTGGTGCATCAACAAATCCTGTCTTTCAGGATGCTGGAAACTCCTGAAAATTCTGGTTTTAACAACCTGGTCCTCTATTTTGTTGAGTAAAAGTCTTTACGTGGGGTAGTGAGGCACTGGAATAGGTGATGTGGATGTCCCATCCCTGCAGTGCTCAAGAGGAGGCTGGATGGGGCTGTGGGCAGCCTGGGCTGTGGGAGGTGTCCCTTTTCATGGCCTATGGGTTGGCTTTAAGATCTCTTCCAACCCATTCTATGATTCTAAATCAGCATTTGAAACTTCTGCTGTCCTTCCTATGAGTTGCAAGGTGTGTATTTGTGTATCTGATGGGTGAGAAAAAGGCACGATGGCAAAGGAAGGAGGGAGGAATGACACTGAAGTGTTCCAAAGTCTGCAGAAGTAAATGGGGAAGCCTTCCCCTCACTTTGAGGGATCTCAGGTCCTATAGCTCCTCGTAACAAAACGCTACCAAAGTCAGCAGCTGTCAGCAGCAAGACCCAGAAAAAATATCTGTTCCCCACCACCTTCTCTATTACTTTCCCCTCCTGTGCAAGGGGAAGCTTTGGAGCAAATGTCTGTTAGTGTAACTGGCACATATATCGAATCTGCTTAGTCTGGGCTGTTAAGTAAGTTTAATTAATTTACTAAGTTAATGTTCCAATGCTAGCAACAAAGCATCATTGCAATCAGCTGGGTAGCAGGAATTGGAACCCCTAAATGAGCTCATTTTTTCACAGTTGGAATTAGGGACCAGTTAGCCAGTTGTGTGGCTTTTCCAATTTCTCCACTTGCCCTAAGGGAGTTGCAAGTTATTCATTCCCTATTGCTAAGTGTGAGTAGGATGGGGAGGGGGGACGTGAGCAAACCCTGCTCCACGTAGGAGTCCATCTTTGATCCCAGCACTGCTGATTCCCTAGCTGTTGTCTGCACTGATCTTCCTTGGTCCTAGACTGGCATTTGCTGCTGTTTGTGATAGTTTGGAGAAGCAGAAAGGCATCACTGAGAGATATTTATGCATGTATTTTATCGTAAGCGCGTGCAGATAAAGGGGGGAAAAACAAATAAACAATAAAAGAATGGAAACAAAATTACAGAAATTTGCAAAGTTTGACAAATGGTGGCCAGGAGTTGCCACAAGCTAATGGCTTGCAATGATTAATAAGAGTAAAAATAATTGCATTTCATTAAGATTGATGACACCCCATTTAACCTCCCTTCTCGTTTCAGCCCTAAAGTGGAAAGAGATGAAGTTCTCATCTATAATAGCTCCTGTAACATTACCATGGAAACTGAGGCAGAGATGGAGTGTGAGGGAGCTAATCAGCCAATTACCGCCAAGATTACTGAGATATGGAAAAACTGGGGCCAGAACACTCAGGTATAATCAAATCTCTGTTACAGACTGATTCAAACAGCTTAAAATTAAATTTGTAATATTGTGTACATTTAAAGGAGGCAAAAAAAAAAAAAAAAAAAAAAAAAAAAAAGAAGAAACAATTTAGGCTGAGCAGCAGCAATATATAATATTAAAAGCTTTCCAACTTTGAATAGCAGTTGTAATGCTGTGCAGCTGTATTCATGGTTAACTATGGATAATCGTGTTTTATGAGACATAAATGAGCTCTACCTTATTTTCTGGGCAGTGTGTACCTTTTTTTAAAACAAACAAACAAACAAACAAAAAACCCTCTCCCTTTTGATGTATCAATGCAAATTCTGTTCTAAAAGTGTTATTTTCTGTTATTTGATCAGAAATCTTGTCCACGAGACACGGAGTTCCAGCTTTTCTATAGGGACTTAGCATTCAGCATTTGTGCAGCTCTGCTTCTATGTGGGTTTTGCTCCTCTTTCGTATCCAGAACTGAGACAGGATGGTTTCTCTTGCAGGAAAACAACCACAATGTGTTTATCACAAAAACTCATGACTCTGAGCTAACATCATTGTAAGGCTCAATCTCTACAAATATGATTACAAACCCAAACCTTTCACAGCTCTTGGGGGTGTTGCAGTGTTTTTGGAGGTGCTGAGCTGGAGTTATGGGCTGTGCCTCTCGTGATAAGGAATTCAGAGCAGCTGGGTATTCTGTGACTGCCCAATGTCCCTTTGTCATCATCCTAAATGAGCAGCTCCTGAGATGTTGGTGGAGTTCTACCAGTACTAGGGAGAAGAGTTTCACTCCTGGCTTGTGAGAACAAATGCTGGTTTTCCTCTGGTAAATCAAATTATTATGCAGCCTTCCTAGTACAGGTGAGACCTGGGAAGCTGAAATTCATTTGCTCAGGATTTATGTTAAAGCTCTCGTGGTAATTTTTATCTCTATCCATAATGAGAATTCTTTTGCTGTATCTACCACCCTGCCCCAGAGCAGCAGCAGTATTCTGTCCAAGTCATTTTGGTGTGCTTCCAGCATCAGATTCTGAAGCTTTTAATAAGCTGAGAATCTCTGAATATTTGCCCTGTAAATCTGTTTTTCATGTATATTGCTCTTGCAGCCAAGCATCCTAAAATACCATTGCTGGATAGTGATAGGACAAGGGGGAATGGTTTTAAACTGAGACAGGGGGTTTAGGTTGGATATGAGGAGGAAGTTTTTCAGCCAGAGGGTGGTGAGGCACTGGAACAGGTTGCCCAAGGAGGCTGTGGATGCCCCATCCCTGCAGGCATTCAAGGCCAGGCTGGATGTGGCTCTGGGCAGCCTGGGCTGCTGGTTGGTGACCTGCACACAGCAGGGGGTTGGAACTGGATGAGCATCGTGGTCCTTTTCAACCCAGGCTATTCTATGATGCTATGATTCCTTTATTCTGCTTTACAAAAAGAAGGAAAAAAAAAAAATTTTAAGTCTCCCCTTGGCCCGGGAAGGACCATCATAGGCAGCCTTTTCCCTCCTAGCGTTGCCAGCCTTCACAGTGCCCTGGCCTTCCCCTGTTCTGCAGGATGACTCCTCTCCCATGTGCTTGTTGGCTAGCTCTGCTACTCACAGCACACACAGCAATGGCAAGGCCAAGCAAAAACATTTCCTAACATAGTTAGGAAATGCAAGAGGTCAGCACAAGGATGTGCTTAGGCCAGTGTCAGGTCAGACAGCAACTACTCCTTTCCTTTAGGTTGTCCTTACCTAGTGTGCAAAAGATGTCTCTACTGCTGCAGAGCATAGGCCACAGCATAGAGGAGCTGTCACCCACTGCTTTGTGTAGTCCCTTAGTCTCAGCAATGAGATGGTGGCAGTCTGTCTTTTTGGCTCAGGTGGCAACCAGAATAGGAAGAAATGGTGAGGTTTGTCCCTGCTGTGGTTTTTCCACCTGGTGTGGGGTGAATCGGGGAGCTGAGCATCCTGAAGGATGTGCAGGATGAAACCAGCAGTGCTTTCCAATCTGGGATTTGCTGCTGCTTAATGAACCCAGCAGGCATTTGGAATCATTTTATCCCTCTTCCCAAAACTGGCCTGGGTGAGCAGAGGTGGATGGGTGGGGAGTTCAGATAAATGGTTTCAATTTTGGTCCTTTTCTTGCTGACAGCATCCCGTTAAGATTTATGACCTGGTGCAGCATATGCATGCTTCACTGTAGAGATTTAAATCATGTCATGTGAACTGGCCTTACCTTTCCAGTGGAAATAATGGTCCCCAGGTTCTGCAGCAAGCAGTGAAATGCATTAATAGCCCCACGTGCAGTAGGATAATGGTGCTATTAGCAGGCAGCACAACTCTGTGTACAAGTAACGGGAATGCATCTCTTTATAATAACATCTGGCACCTCTATCGCACTTTCATGAAAGGATCTCAAAGCAGTCCAAAAGCACAGATACTGTGCTCTCCATTTTATTTTTTCTTGCTTATTCCTTTGCCTGCTGTATGATGCCCAGGCAGGTGTGCCTTAAAACAGCTGAGTTCTTGGGCAGAGGTGGTGAGATGATGTTGGAGCACTGTTTGCTCCAGGGTGGCAGAAGAAAAAAGAGGCACGACAGAAAGGCTTGATAGTCTTGTGTTATCAAGAGCATGGAGAGCATTGGTAAGAAAAGAGAAGAAACTTGTCGGAGGGCAGAAAATGGGAGAAAACCTCCAAATATTTGTTGCAGAGGCTGGAGTCTAAGGGATACGAGCTTTGGGGAAAGGACATTATTTTCTTCAATCCTTATAAGACATTTAGTAGGACCTGTCTGTAGTTATCAATAGTATGATCAGTTGGGATTTGGAAGATAGGGCAGAAATAAGAGAAACACAAGCTGCAATGAGATGCTTTTAGCAGCCCTGTTAGCGGCAGCTCACAGACAGGACCTGGTGTGATGGAAGAGGAACCCATGCATTAGGATCCTACTTCAGGGCAAGTGGCAGAGGGAGGTCCATCAGCTTGATCTTCTTTGGCTAGCCAGAACCTTGCACTGGAAATGTTCCATTTGTCCTTTCCTTCATTCTGCAGAGCTGTATCCAAGCAGTGAGTGAATCAGCTCATGAATTCACCCCAGTTCTGTGTGTCAGAATTACTAACAATTGCATGAAATAGCTAACATAACCCATCCAGGAGTTAGACCATAGCCATGCCAGGTGCATTTTGAATAAAAACATGTTGTGAATGCCTCTGTGCCTCCACATATGATTATATTATGAGCATTTCCATGGTGTTGCTTCACCATCTGTTTGAATTCCAAGTTCTTGTGGACACAAACAGAAAAATTCTGTACGATTCAGCAAACATAACGTGTTCTTTCTCAGAAGGTTATTGAAGTGGTTGTTCATCAGACTTTTTATTGTCTTGGATATGAAGAAGCTCCAAATACTAGAGAATCATCGTAGAATCATTCAGGTTGGAAAAGACCTCCAAGACCCCCAGGTCCAACCCCAGCCCACCCCACCATGCCCATTGCCCACATCCCTCAGTGCCACATCCCCACGGTTCTGGAACACCTCCATGGATGGTGACCCCACCACCTCCCTGGCAACTGTGCCACTGCATCACCACTCTTTCTTATGAGGAGAAGATTTTCTTTATAAATAGATACGAAGATGTATTTAATTGAAAAGATCTTAACTCTAGGAGGCTAAACTTTTGGATGATCTGCATGAGATAGCGAAGCCTAATTCTGCAGAGAAGGAGCTCTTCCACCTCTTGTTGCATACCTGTGCTTGAAAATTGGGCTGCAGCTGTCATCCAAAGTTAGAAGGCTGTATCTACCCTGTTCACCTTGTTCATGCTGCTGCCTCGAATCAGTCCCTCAGATTTGCTGTTCTGGTTAAACCTCTTGGAAGAATTTTGGGTAAGATCCTCAGCTGAGGAAAAAAGCTGTCTTTCTGAAGATGCGAGGCAGTACCCATCCTTTCAATTCTGTTCTGTTTGCCATGGGTGCAGAATGAGCTGGGCTTGTGTTTGAATTTAGAGGACCTCACAGATTGCTGGAGTTTTCAAGCTGCTGGCTGGAGACCTGTTGCTTAGCAGGCTTCATTGGGCTGAAGTTCACCAACTTGGCATATTCCTTGGATTTCCTCCACGCCCAAATATCTCCTCCAAAATAGCTTTCATGGATTTCTTTAGAGACTGACTCAGACCCTTTTCCTCCATTTATATTTGAAATACCTGCCACCGTAGGACTTAAGTAGGTCACAGAAAGTAAGCTGCAGGCCTCTGCCCCACTGCTGTATTCAGCATCATTAGTGTTTGTAACTTGCTCCATTATTATCTCAGGAAGAGTTGCAGAATTATTTTTATATCTGTATATAATGCAATTTATACTACTGAAAAGTGTGTGTGTGTGTGGGGTGGGGGGAGTGGGAAAGAAAAGAAAAAAAAATTCCAACACTGGCTGTATATCCCACAGGACTTAATTAGTTCACAGCTTCATGATACACTGGATAATGGCAGGATATGAATTAAATAATGCAAGGGAGAAGTTCTAATGCTCACTCAATACCTGTCCACTGCCACCTTGGCTGCATAATGAGATGTCAACCACCATGATGCTGATGAGACATGCAAAACACTGATACAGTGTGTAAAGGATGCTCATGGGAAGGTTTGGCCAGGCTTAGATATCTCCAAATCCATTATGCTTAGTGAGCCTTCAGATTATTATTCCGGACCAGTGGACCAGACCTAATCATCGTGTAAGCATGCTGTCTGAGCAAAGTTGCCCTGTGCTGATTCCTCCTCCTTCTTCTGGCCCAGGTGGGTGATATAATGTTCATTGGAGGGCAGATGCCACGTGCATTAAGTCAGTCATAGGGAAGCTAAACGGGTATGCTAGTGCATCCTCTGCAACCCAGCCCTCAAGGAGTCTCCATTAAGAAATGGAGGGCTGATGGAAAAATAACTTGCTAGATGCAGATGCCTTCTTGGACTTTGGCTCTGCCTGGGTCTGCTGCACTGCCCTTTGTTTTTTAACATGGC